TTTATCTTTGTTGAAATTTATTCAATACATAATTATGTTTGTTTATCCCAGACCTTGAGGTTGTTCTAGTAGAATATGAAGTGATTGTGTATTATGTTATTTGAGGCTAAAAAAAGAAAAAGCAGGTTATATTTGGTCCTAGAAAAGAAATGATATATATATTTTTTAAATTTGAATTTGAATTTTTACTTTTCTTTAAGCAAAGATTAATATAATTTTTTGGGAGAAAAGTATAAAAGCACTTTACAGTTTTATTTTTTACCAAACAAATTAGTAAAAAGCACTTTCAGCATCATGTCCATTTTAGTCATTATAAATAGTTACAGCACTTTTACGGTAAAAATTACCAGACGCTCTGACACTGCTTTTCATACTCACAGCGCTTTTAAAATTACAGTGTACCAAACGTTTAACTGCTTTACTTTACAGCTGATTCTTTTTAAAGCACAGCAGAAGCAGCTTCTTTTTAAAGCGGCAGCAATCCCAAACTAGGCCTAAGTCCTTAGGCTTTTGCACCACATAAGATTACATGCCATTTTTTATTTATTGATGTTTATGTTTTATTTTAAATTATTTTTTCGGTCCAATTATGCCCCTATAACATAAATAAGGTAAATTATGGATTTGTAAAACCGGTAAGTTATTGATTTGTAGGACATCAATTATCAGATTTGATTTGAATTTAGGGTGATTTTATTTGAACCCACAATCCTCTCTTTTGACCCCACACACTCTTCAAACCCCCATAAAATTTTACTTAAGTTTAAAATTATTCTCTACACCCATCAATTTTTTCAAAATTACCCTCGCTAACCTAAACCCATCACACATTTTTTATATTCACACCATCACTTGTTATTCAAATAACATAATAAATTTATTTTTTAAAATTTCATGTGTTCTACGCAGACCCCCGCAGAACTTCTTCGTAAACCCTATCAGTTGTACAGTACAACTCGTCCGAAATTTTGTATGGTTAAAATATCACCTAAACTCCAAGGTCGTGAAGAATGGCAAGGTTAGCCCCACAATTTTGAGTTTTAATGTTATGTTTATAAGTGATATTTTTCAGAAATAGGATGCGTTTTAGAGTTTAGAAATGTATTCATGGTTAAATTTTTGTGATTTTTTTGAAAATTGATGTATGGGTTCAAACCTGGTTTTACCAAAATAGGGGGAAATTTCAACGGATGACCACAAAAATCATTTCAATTTTTCAGTGGTAGTCTTCCGAATTCGTTTCAAATTTTTAATGGCAGTCTACCGAATTCAGTTTTGAGTTTGTACTTAAAAATGTTTTTTGGGTTTATTTGTCTTCTTTTCTGGTATAATGAATACCTACACTTTTTATCTATCTGTTACATGAAGTAGTTCTCGTTGTTATGGAGACTGTATGCTGAGTGGAGGACTTGAATGTTGGGACAATCATAAATTGCAAATTTCTATATCTTTGTTTTGTTCTATTTTCCCAGTTTGTTGGTATGTGTCTCTTTGGAATGAATTTTTCTTCTCAAACAAGTAGAAATATCAAAGCACACAAAGATGAGAAGTTGAAAATGATGAAAACACTAGGACATTGAATTCACCACTAGTAATCTAATCTAGCCTCTTATGCATGTCCACCTATTACCTAACCAATTGATGTTGCTGCTCAGTTTTCATTTTTTATGAATTACCTATGGTAATTAGGGTAACCCAAATATTTCTACATTCAATTTGCCAATGGTATTTAGGAAAAATATGAACACATAGAAACTCATTAAGATCAATGAAAACCTCTAACAAGCTTATAAATCCTAGAAGCATGGTATTTATCCTATAAGAATTACGAATCTTAACCACAAGAAGCAAGCCTAAAAAAGTATAGTATTTACTCTAATTTGCATCAGATAAACTCAATTAACAATCTAGATGGTGATCAACATCAAGAAAATCAACCAAGTTATTAAGCACATTGATTAAGAATCCAACATCAAATAACGACGATCAATAGATAGGCAAAATCAGAAAACTAGATTATCATATACTAGGCTTGCATCATGCTCTAGCAAAAAAAATTTCATTACACATAGTCATAGAATTTGGCATAAGCAAAATCATAAGGAAGAAACGACAAAATTCTAGTAAAGTTGCTCTACTCTTCCGGCGCTCTCTAATTTTCCAAGTCTTCTGTACCCCCCTAAGGAGTTGTTTCTCATGTTTTACAAAGAGTTGAAGACTTGTCTCACGCACTATTTACATACAGCAAGGAGTAAATGTTATGGTTGTGAAGCCTATACCCTCCATCTATAAATTGAGACAATCTTTAGGCTTCTAGTAGAGACCTCTAGAGAGAAAAAAGAAAAAAAAAAGAAAAAAAAAAGCGAGAGCCTAGGCAGAGGAGGAAGAAATAGGAGAGTGAGAGGAGAGAAATTGTCCCAGAGAAAAATGTGAGCCAATGAGAGTGTAAACACCAAGTTATATTCCTTTTGTAGCCCTATTATTTTACATAGTGAAAAGGTTAGTGTTGATGCTCTCCGGAGACGTAGGCACAACTTGCCGAACCTCGTCAAATATTGTGTTTTATTTACTTTATGTGCAACCTTTATATTCCAGTACCATTCGTTTATTATACAACAATTGTAGATTTTTTTTTTCTCTTTTTATCAGTAAGATCTTTAGTTTCTTACAACCAATGATGGATAATA